GCAATCATCAAAACTACTTGGTACTGGCTGAGAAATAGAGGGATGGATTAGTGGAATAGGTTAGGTACACAAGACACAGTAGTCAATGACTACAGTAATCTACTGTTTGATAAACCCAAAGACTCCACCTTCTGGGATAAGAACTCACTATTTGACAAAAATGTCTGGGAAAACTGGGAAATAGTATGACAGAAATGAGGTATAAAGCAACATCTTACACTATATACCAAGATAAGGTCAAAGTGGGGACATGATGTAGATATAAAGGGCAATACCATAAGCAAATTAGGAAAGCAAGGAATAGTTTACCTGTCAAATCTATGAAAAGGGGAAAAAATTAGTATCAAACAAGAGATAGAGAACATTATAACATACAGAATGGGTAATTTTGATTACATTAAATTAAAGAGGTTTTGCACAAAGAAAGCCGATGCAACCAAGATTAGAAGGGAAGCAGAAAACTGGAAAAGAATTTTTCCAACCAGTGTCTCTGATAAAGGCCTCATTTTGAAAATATATAGAGAACTGAGTCAAATTTATAAGAATACAAGCCATTCCCCAATTGATAAATGGTCAAAGGATATGAACAGGCAGTTTTCAGATGAAGAAATTAAAGCTACCTATAATCATAAGAAAAATGCTCTAAATCACTATTAATTAAAGAAATGCAAATTGAAACAACTTGTTTTTTTAAAAAAACTCGTTGTTTGAAAAAACATCACACTTATCAGATTGGCCAATATGACAAAAAAGGAAAATGTCAAATGTTGGAGAAGATGCAAGAAAATTGGAACACTAATGCATTGTTGGTGGAGTTGTGAAGTGATCCAACCATTCTGGGGAGCAATTTGGAACTAAGCCCAAAGGACTATAAAAATGTGCATACCCTTTGGCCCAGCAATACAACAATAAAAATGGGAAAAAGGACCTACACGTACAGAAGTATTTATAACTGCTTTTTTTGTAGTGGCAAAGAATTGGAAAGTCCATCAACTGGGGAATGGCTGGACAAGTTGCAGCATATGAATGTAATGGAATACTATTGTGTTATAAGAAATGATGAACAAGTGGAATTCAGAAAAAACCTGGAAAGACTTATATGAACTGATGCTGAATGAAGTGAGCAGAACCTAAAGAACATTGTGCATAGTACCTGCAACATTTTATGATGACTAACTTTGATAGACTTAACTCTTCTCAGCAATATAATGATCTAAGTCAATTGCAAAAGACCAATGATGGAAAATGCTATTCACATCCAGAGAAAGAACAATGGAGTCTGAATGCAGATCACAGCATACTATTTTCTCTTTTTTTGTTGATTTTTCTTTCCTGTGGTCTTTCCCTTTGGTTCTGATTCTTCTTTCACAACATGATTAATATGGAAATATGTTTAATATGATTGTACATGTAAAGCCTATATCAGATTGCATGTCATCTTGGTGGGGGGAGGAAGAAAAAATTTGCAACTCAATCTTACATAAATGAATGTTAAAGACTGTCTACATGTAATTGGGAAAAAATAAAATACTATTAAATGGGAAAAAATAAAATAGCAGGCCTATCATCTAATGCTGATCCTCTGCCTCCAATTCCAACAAAATCTTTTCATTTCACCACTCTACCTATTTAATTTAAGCTTAAAATAATCAATCACTGAATCAGTCAACAAATATTTCCTGAGCATATGCCCCTCATTATGCTAGGTGGTACTGAGGTGGGAGAGAGGAGAGGCTAGTGAAATTAAAAGTAGATATCAACACATATGCCTTTAAGAATACTCTTGATTTGGCTTCAATAATTATATTTCTGTGATCATCATGGTCCCTTACTATCCCAATCATAATGCAGTATTTAATAATAATGACAATAACTAGCATTTTCATGATGCTTTGAAGTTTGTAAAGAACTCTACAAATATAATCTTATTTTGTTTTCGCAACAGACCTGAGGAGTAGGTGCTATAATTTCCATTTTACAAATGGAGAAACTGAGGCAGAATCTTGCCTACTCACAGAGTCAGTAAGTGTCTGAAGCTGTATTTGAACTCATGTCTCCCTGATGCCAGATCCAGTGCCCCCTGTTTGCAGAATAGGAAATTTGCACCAGAAATCCTTCCATCCAACTTAATCTGGTTAAACCTGTAGCTAACCTTTTGGAGACTTAGTGATAACTGAAATGGCATTTGAAGAGAAGGATATCATATCTCCCAAATATCTTAATGTTGAGAGAGATTGTGATTGCTTGGTCAAGAAGGAGAAAGAAAAAAAGGAAAAACTTAATGAGCAGTTCTTGAATAATGGTAGCTGAGAAAATATATTCGTTTGAACAGATACTGTATGAGCAAGAAGGCAAAGCATACACTTGGAAGTTTTAAATGCTGGAATATAAAACATAATCAGTTCCAGGGTATCCCAGAAAATAGCAATTTTAATTTGAGAAGTTTCACATTTCTCTTTCTTAAATAAGGTTCTTTTTCAAAACATATGAAACAATGAATTTGCTTTCTGTTAACATTTGTGAGGAGGAAAGTGGATAAATCTGAAATTCCCTGGCATAAAAACTCTCACCTTCTTCCAGATCAAAAACTCAAGGTTGTGTTTTCTAATTATAGCATAATACTTCAGAATAGTCTCTCAGTAACTTACAGGTTTAGAATTGCCTGAGATAGTGAGACTTCACTACTTTCCTATGGTCACAACTAATATGTGCCAGAGGTAAGATTGACCTCCAAGAATGTCCATCTAACCAATATGTCATGTTGTGGAAATTATATATAATACACAATTCCTATAAACATATTCTTTCATTTTTCCTTTTCAAAAAATGAAATTGTAAGCTAGATAAAGAATTAAGATTTTTATATGATTAAATATTTAGGTAGGCATGACAATAAAGGAGATAAAAAAACACAATTATATTTGTCAATGTAATTCACTATCTTCTATCTCAATTTAAGGTTTGATGATAGTAGAGGTTAGAAAAAATGGAATGTAGAAGAGAATTATCTTCATTAAATACTAATTCACATATCCAGGGGTTGTATAAGTAGTTGGATTATAGCTATGACAGGCAAAAGGAAAGGTGTCAACAACAACACAAATTAAAGCAATAAGGAGATACAGTATTAGATTTTTGTTTGGATTTTTAGTGCCAACATCAAATCAGTAAATTTTATTTCTTCCATAATCAGGAATGATATGGTGGTAGTGAGCCATAATATCTTTCTAGACTTGAACCAAAAATATATCCCATTCTTATCTGAGTGTAAAAGTGAGGAATGTGACAGAGTAGTTGTTATTGCTGTTGTTGTTGTTGTTGTTGTTGTTGTGTTAATCAGTTTTAAATTTGTGACTCCGCATGTTAATGACTTCTTCAGGGTACTCCTTCATCTTTTCCTTCCTAAGTTTCCCCTATATCTTTTTCAATCTGTCTTTCTCTTCTTTATGTTAACTCTATTTTGCTTTCTTAACCCTTCTCCCAAAAAAGAATTGTCTTGCCTGTCTCATAAATGTTGTGAGTCTCAAATACAATAAAAAACTATGAAAACATGTGTATAGATAATTTGAAGGACATTTTAATAATTTTGGGGGAAGAGAAATTTGATTAATAAAATCCCCATTTTCCTTCATCTTACTCCCTGTGCTTTTCAAAGATTGAGGTTAATTTCCTCTAGAGATATAACTAAGAGGGGCCTTTGTCCCAGAGTACCAAAGTTGGGTGGTACACTCATGTATGCATATACTTCACCAGTGCAGAAACAACTGAGTTCAATATATGGTTATCCCTTCGGATCATGGTGGGTGAAGGGTGTTGCTGCAATCTGGAAAATCCTTGTAAATTTTTTTAGCCCTCATTTTGTACCAGAGAAGACGTCTGATTTTTTTTCCATTTTCTTTTATGGAGTATTTACAGTACCCTATTGTAAAATGTGGGTTGATATGATACAACAGATATATTTTATGCATTTCCGAGTTTCTAGACTTTTTCTGTGTGACTTGCTGGCCTTTGTGTGTCATCTACAGCTTCCACAAAATGCCCCCAAAATTCCTATTTAATTTCTTATGCCAACCTACAATATATTGAAACACGATGGAGAAAGTTGCAATGTGGAAGGGATAAGTCTAAGAGCAATAATAATTAGTTAAAATAAGAAGCAACTAACCACTATATTAGTTAATTCCCCAGTTCCATTTAACTGGGTTTGTTTTAAGTTTTTCTTCTATTATTTTCATACCGTGAAATAAAGCTTATTTGTGGCCCAGTTTGGTGACGCATTCTTTGGATGCCAAAATTGCTAGCCTTGGCTCTGACACTGTCTTTCACAATAAGGTAAATGAATATTTGATCATCACTTCCTTTCTAGGTCCTGGTCCAAGCAAGCAGAGGATTGTAAAAAGGATACATACGGATTGTAGAATTCTTAGGCTACTGACAGGGACCCTTTACCTCTGAAGCTTCAAGAAAGGAACACTCCTATTCCTCCCCATTCATAACTTACAAAAAGAAGGCAGTTCTTATCTCTTTCAGAATCACCAGTAGGGCAATAGCATTAGCTCCAGTTTCTTCTTTTCCCACTTTTTTTTTCCTGGTAATTGTGACACTGTCCTTTTATTCACCCAGTATTATGGGATATCAGTCTTTTGAATCTCAGCAGTTATGTGCCAATGAACACTCCCAAGTCTATGATACAGAGGTTAGTGATGCTAATAAAATTATGGTTTAATATTCTTTGACAATGAATCTTTTTTTTAATCTACAAATATTTTATTAATTCATTGTTTCATATTTTAAGTATGAAGTTTATTATATCATTTGAAATTTAAGACATCATGCAGGGGCAGCTAGGTGGTACAGTGGATAGAGTACCAACCCTGGATTCAGGAGGACCTGAGTTTAAATCCGGCCTCAGACACGTAACACCTACTAGCTGTGTGACCCTGGGCAAGCCACTTAACCCCATTGCCTAACCAAAAAAAAAAAAAAAAAGACATCATGCAAAGTAAATTACCTTTTTTCCTGAAATCTGTCAGTTTAAACACTTGGGTTTCTATTAGGCATCTAGTATCATAGGACTTCTGGGGTTGGGATAATCACTAAAAATAATGTTCTAGTTATCATGAAAATATTCATATAAATTTAGTTTTTAGATTTAGTATAGAATCATAAACTTTTAAATGAGAGGACCTAACAAGCCACCTCCATTGTAATCCAACTCCCTTAATTTAACAGATGAAGAAAATGAGGTCCAGAGAAATTAACTGATCTGCCCATTGTCATTTAGGTCATACTAGGCAGTATCGGGATTCCAGCCCAAATCCTCTAACTCTAAATCCAGCCACTCTTATCCATTATTTTCATCTGCACATCATTTGCAGTCCTCTTCAGCAACTGGGATCTGAAAAAAAAATAAGAACACAGTTGAAACAGACAAGAATTTAGGTTGGACTACCTGATTTCTAAGGTATAACAGTAACTATTAAGATAGATTTATTTACTAAGCCATTTAACATGCTGAGCAATTCTTCATATGATTATTTTTTCCTGCCTCTATTATTCTAACTTTATCATTATTGTCATAAGCAGTAGTAATAATAGAGGAGTAATATTAGTGGTAATGGTGGCAGTAGTAGTAGTAATAGTATTTTTATGGTATGAACTTATGATTTCATTGGTATAGGGAACTCCTGGTGAGAAAACTTCCTCCACCAATGCAGAAGCTGCTCTGTAATTTACAATTTTTGAGTGTAGCATGCGACACTACAGATTTTAGTAATTTGTCCAGAGTCACATAGGAGAATATGACAAGATTAAGATTTAAATCTTGGTCTTTCTGATTCTGAAGTCAGTCAAATCTCCATTACGCCACTTCTCATAATGATGATGATGGCAACGACAACAATGATGATGATGGTAATGATGACATCAAAAGGTATTATTGAAAACTTAAATATTTATTTTTTAACTAAAATGCTATATACTGCCTAAGGTGATACAGTGGGAATAAACTTGCATTCTCACTATGAAAAATGCTTTATTATGAAAAATATAGAGCTGTTGGTGCCAGGAGTAATTGCACAGGGCTAAGGATAACCACCTAAGATAGTCTATTCATGAACTTTAGTTCCAAACTTTATCCTGAACACATTTGTGGTTAAATGATTTCAAAATATGGTCACAATGAATAGAACACAACTGAACAATAACAACAAAATTGCCCAGTTGATGGCATGTGTAATATCTACCTTTAGGACAGAAGTAATGACTTAATAATCACAAGCAAACCAAGCAATATTTAGTTTGTCTAACTATGTAAACCCTATGAAGCATAAAGGAAATTTCTTGACAAAAACCACATGAGATTTTTCCTTTTTGCTACTGTTTGAAGCATATGCTAATCTGTTCCAATAGTGCAGTGTAATTTCAAAAACTCCTAAAATTTATTTATTTAATTCTAGTTCTGTCATTGAAATGTAATTTGGAACCAAAGCACAGATATAAGTATGTCGTTATTCAAACCACAGTAAATCCAGAAATGTACAGAGAATGTGGAACAATAGGTTATTCCTTCATAATGGTGTTCCTGCATTCTCTCCACCCAGGTGCCTACTCTAAGTACTTAGCCCTCTTATTTATTTATTTCTTTTTTAGGCATTTAATTTAAATTCCATATTGTTCATAAAGGAAGTGTTGGAAAACTTTCTACCTTTTGTGCTGCTTGGTGTATTTGTTGCCAATGTAGGCCTCTTAAATAAGTAGTAGTGTCTCTTCCTGCCTTCCTTTGTTCCACTAGCCACCAGAATGAACAGTATCACAAGATTCTGTTTCCCAGAAGTGTCTTTAACTTTTTATTACATGAGAATTTTCTGTCTTGATGTTTAATTGATCCCAAGCAGGCAGTTAAAATTTCAGGACACTCTCTGCCACTACCAATAAAAGCCTCATAAATGGAATAGTATAGAGTGTTCTCATAGAAAATTTTGTAAGGGTTCCACTGACAAGGTTGCCAAATATCATGAATGTATGGAGGCCACTAAAAGCCAGAAAACAGTAAATTAGATAACACAGAAGTAACCCTGGAGTCCATTCTCCTTTTCACTAACTATTCTCTCTTCTTTCTTCCTGGATAAGAAAGGGAGAGGTCTTCTAAGGCATCATTTCAAGACTACCAAATTGTAGGTTGCTATTTACAAAGAGTCTATATAACTATTCCATGACTGAAATTCAGTGAATACCTGCAAGGCAATGAAAGAATTACTGGGTATCCCCTAGAGTAGGTTCTGATTGACCGTGAATTGACTTGTCACAATCACTTTGAGAGCTACTCAAAGCCACCTTACTTATCAGGTAACTGCAAGCTAGCCAGAGCACTCTTTCACATCTTAATATAATAGGCCCTGATTTAAATCTTTTTGACTCATATGTATGCCTAGCTTATGTATAAACTGTCACCTGGAAAAGAGCCACCTGGCTTGTGAAGTGGACATCGACATTTACCTCTCTTCCTTGATGCCTCTTCTCGGAGTATCCAGCCTTGCTTCATCACTTATACTACTGTTTGCTACAGCCTGGGGCACTTGGGTGTCTCTACTGCTTCTCTGGTCACACCAGAACTGGTAGCATGAGGGGAGATCTAGCACGTAGAGAAAACGAAGAAAAAGAAGGAAGGCTATCAACTCCACCATTTTTCCGGCCCACTCCCAATCACTTCCACTAAAATAGCCCCATCACTAGGTTCCTTGGCAACATCTTCTAAATCTTTCCCATTTCCTCCTGGTCCTGACTTGCTCTTCCCCTCAAAACTCCACCTTCATGGCAATTCTAGTAATATATGCTAAATATTTTCTGATTATTCTGTTTATCTTAAATACATATGAATTTTAAGCACCCCCCCCACAAAATCTAAGTAAGTAAAGAGAAGGGGGATGGCATAGAAAGCATCCTTTTACCCCACTGGTATTCTCTCTAAGGGATCTAATAGATTTGGAAGTGCTTGCCAACGATAGGGACCATATTCCATTCATGCCTACCCATCCTGTGTATCATTTATTCATGTCCTTCTCAAAGTTTAGCTTGGTTGGTTACAGGTCCACCCTATGTACTTACTATGGTGAGCTTCCTATGGAGTAGTCTACCTAGCATCCATTAGTATGAGAATCACCAAATCTTTTGAAAGGGATGTATGTTTGATTTAAAAACAGGAGAGACAATAGAGTTGGGGGGGGCAGTTATTATATGATATTGCTATATGAGGCAATGACCCTAAGGAAGAGTCGAAATATTTCTTTATTTGGATCCAGTAAGAAGACTTGACTTGAATCTCAGCTCTGTGACCAGCTAGCTGTGTGACCTCAAGCAAATCAGTTCACTTCTCTGGTCTTCACTCTCCTTGCATGGAAAAAGAAGAGTTGGACTAAATCACCCAGGTCCCTTTTAGTTCTTTGACCTACAAGATGAATGAAGAACCAATGAATCAAGATGTATTTATGAAGTACCTGTGTGCCCAACACTATGCTAAGTACTAGGGATTCAAAGACAAACATGAAACAATCCCTACCCTCAAAGACATATGTGAAAGATATTGAGTCAGTAGAATGAGAGGATTTGAAAATTAATTGGATATGCAGAATGAGAATGAGAAGTTCAAGATGACCTAGATGTTGTGAATCTGTATGACTGACAGGGTGGTAGTGACCACTGTGGAAATAGGGAAATTCAGAAAGGATACATCTGGAGATAAAGAGATTTAAGTTCCCTTTTAGATATGTTGAGATGTGTTTTAGATCTGGTTTGGGATGCCCAGTAGGCAATCAATAATGTGGGTTTGAATTTGATAGCAATGTGCGTAGGGATAAGTAAAATCATGGTGATTGGTGGAATCACTGAGAGAACATAGATAAAGAGAAAAGAGAGCCCAGGAAAGTGATTTAGGCTTCACCTACAGTTTTCAAACTATGTAAAATGATCCATTAAAAGAGAAGGAGGAGTCATCCGACAAGTAGAAGAAAACTGAAGAGATGTCTCATTAAATGGGTTGATTATTAGCAGATTACCTCAGTCTACTGATCATATTAATCTGCTGAGAAGCGGTAAGTTGTCAAAAGTCTGGGTTCAAATTTAAATTCTAATAGGTATGTATGACCTTGTCTAAGTACTTAAACCCTCTAAGTCTGATTCCTTATCCATAAAATGGGGATAATATGACTTACATAATCCATCTTGTATGGTTATTGTGAAGAAATTGATTTTTTAAATGCTAAAGCATTTTGAAAATGTGGCATTATTATTATTTTTCTAATATTCATAATCTTTACCCTTTCCTTTTTACTTGGCCTACAAAGGTTAAAATCAAACTTCAATGCTTCCTCTTACTTTTAAGTCTAGAATTGTTCACCTACTTTATTTTTTTCCTCCACCTATTATATTCTTATATTCATATCTAGATGAATTCTACCATATACTACATTTAGGAAAGTAAATTCTAATTTTATTCCATAATTTGTTTTTGTCCCCTAACATTTTTGGTTTTCTCATGTCTTCTTTCACTTTCTTGTTGACACAGCTGTTATTTTATTTGTTAATACTCAATTGTATCCAGTCATGTCTGACTTTTCATGACCCCATTTGAAGTTTTCTTGGCAAAGATACTGGAGTGGTTTGCCATTTCCAGCTCATTCTACAGATGAGAAAACTGAGGTAAACAGGGTTAAGTGACTTACCCAAGGTCAGAGCGAGAAAGTATCTGAGGCCAGTTCTGAATGCAGGAGAATGCATCTTTCTAACTCCAGACCTAGAACTCTATTCCCTGTGCCACTTAGCTGTCTTCATTTTATGTGTAACTTTCTTAAAAACTTGATAGCTTGGGGTGGAGCCAAGATGGTAGAGTAGTAAAGCATTCAGCTGAGCTCTCTCAATATTCCCCTTCAAAAAAAATTCAGTAATACCTCAAATCAAATTCTGGAGTGGCATAACACATAAAAGGCAAGAGTAAGACAGTTTTGCAGCCCAAGAAAAGATAGGAGATCAGAAAGAGAGATCTGCAATAAAGTGGAGGAGGCTGGCCCAGAGCCAATGTAGATGAATCAGCAGTCATGGGATTAAGTGGTGGTTACAGAAGCAGCAGCAGCAGCTTCAAGAGCTCTTAATCCAGAGACAACAAGAAAATGGGGCAACTGGTCAGAAAAAAGATTACAAGGTACTGCTGTGCTAGCACTAGACTCAGGATCAGATGCCACTGGGCAGCTCCATTGCCTATATTCACTTCTAGGTTTTGGTTCAAGGTCACATAGGAGTACTTTGGGGCAATAGGGAATTGGAAGCCCTAAGGGGCAGTATGACTTCTGACTCCAAAGATCAGCAACCTGAAAAACATATTATCTCCAATCTTGAAGGAAGAAGGGTTCTGAGAGCAGAATAGATCACAATCCCAAGGGATCAGGGGTCTTCCTAGGTAAGTACCAAAGTGCAGATCAAGAGAGCAGTAACAACACCTCTTCCCAGATCACTCCACCTTGGAAGCATGAAACACTTCCAAAACCACAGAACTAGCTTTGAAAACAAACAAAACTACTATTGTGCTATAAGAAATGACGAGCAGGTAGATTTTAGAAAAACCTGGAAAGACATACATGAACTGATGCTGAGTGAAGTGAGTAGAACCAGGAAAACATTGTATATAGAAACAGCCATGTTGTGCAATGATTAACTTTGATAGACTTAGCTCTTCTCAGCAATGCAAGGATCTAAGACAACTCCAAAAGACTCATGGTAGAAAATGCTATCCACATCCAGAGAAAGAACTATGGAGTCTGAACGCAGATGGAAGCATACAATTTGCTCTCCTCCTTCATTGTTCTGTTTTATTGCTCCATTCTCGTGGTTCCTCCCATTAATTCTAATTGCTCTTTACATCATGCCTAATGGGAAAATGTGCCTAATATGAATGTATAAGTGGAGCCTATATCAGATTTCACACTGTCTTGGGCAGGGGGGAAGAGAGGGAAGAGGAGAAAATTTAAAACTCAAAATCTTATGGAAGTGAATGTTGAAAACTAAAAATTGATTAATTATTTAAAAAAAAGAGAGAAATACACCTGAAACAGAAGCACACACATAGTTAAAATAAAAGGCTGGAGCAGAATTTAGTATGCTTCAGCTCAAATGAAAAAGGCAGGGGTAGCAATTGCAATCTCAGACAAAGCAAAAGTAAAAATAGACCTGATTAAAAGGGATAAGCAGAAAACTACATTTTGCTAAAAGGCACCATGGACAATGAAGTAATATCAATACTAAGCATCTAAATGCTATAATTGATATTGTAATAGTGATATTGTAATAAATATCTAAAACTAAGCATCTAAATTCTGAAAGAAAAAGTTCAATGACTTAAAGGAGAAAATAAACAGTAAAACTGTACTAGTGAGGAACATCAACTTTCCACTCTCAGAACCAGGTAAATCCAACTCTAAAATAAATGAAAAAGCAGTCAAGGAGATGAATAGAATCTTGGGAAAGTTAGCTATGATAGATCTCTGGATAAAACTAAATGGAAATCAAAAGTAAACCTTTTTCTCAATTGTAAATGGTCTCTTTCAAAAAAAAATTACCATGTATTAAAACATAAAAACCTCGCAATCAAATGTAGAAAAACAAAAATGTAAAATGCATCCTTTTCAAATTATAATGCAATTAAAATACATTTAATAAAGTGCCATGGCAGCATAGATTAAAGCTAATTAGAAACTAAAATTCTAATCCTAAAAAAATGAATGGGTCAAAGAACATCACAGAAATAATCAATAATTTCATTAAAGAGAATGACAATTATGAGACAGGGAAGCATCCAAAGCAGTTCTTATGGGAAATTTTATTTCTCTAAATATGTACATCAATAAAAGAGAGAAAAAGTGTAATCATTGAATTGTGCATGTAATTAAAAAAATAGAAAAAAATAAATTAAAAATTCACAATTAAACACCAAAATGGAAATACTGAAAACCAAAGGAGAGATTAATAAAACATCAGAAAAACTGGAGAAATCTTATGTGAACTGCTACAAAGTAAAGTAAATAGAATCAAAAGAAAACTGTACATAGTAACAGAAATATTGTGAATATCATCGATTGTGAAAGAATACTCTGATCAAGATAAGAATCTAGGATGATTCTTAAGGACCCATGATGAAAAATGCAATTCACTGCCAGAGAGATAACTGATGAACTCGGTATGCAGATTGAAGCACACTTTTTGTTTTTACTTTTTTATTGTATGTGTGTGTTTTCTTTTGCAACATGGCTAATATGGAAATATGTTTGACATGACTTCACATGCATAATTGAAATCAAAGTGGCTGCCTTAGCAAGGAAATGGTAGGGATTACAGGGAGAGAATTTTCAAGTCAATTAAAAAAAAATAATGATAATTTTTATATGTAATTTGGAAATGTTTAATTAAATTAATAAAAATATATATTTTTTATTTTTTTATTTTTTGTTTTCAACATTTACTTCCATGAGATTTTGAGTTCCAAATTTTCACCCCATCTTGCCCCTCCCACATCCCAAGATTGCATGCATTTTGAATATCCCTTCCCCTAGTCTGCCTTCCCTTCTATCTCTACCAACCTTCTCTTAT